ATTTTTCTTATTTGTTCTTTTCTCCGGTGTTGATTGTTCAAGAATTCCCAGTTTTTAAATCATATTTTTCTTGTTTCTTCAATCCATCATTGGTGGCATGAAAGAGGAAGAGATTTGATTGAGGGGACACCTGCTTTATTACCAATGCCTCATGCTGTCTGGTTGTTTCATGTTACCTTTGGTTTGGTTACACACTGTTTTTTTCTTCTACCTATGTTTATTATTAACCCTTTTGCTGCTGGGAGTAGTAAAGAAAGATACATTGCATAATACTCGCCTTCTGTCTTCAATAAAATATATATTTTCTGACACAAAGGGCTAGGAAAATCTTGAATTATGGGATAATATGTAATCATATGAAAATCAAGTTATCCGTTAATAATCTTAAACAATGTAAAACTTCTTTAAAACTACGTAGGTTGCATAACACAAATTAGTTGTCAATTTAGATTCCAGATATTGATTCATTGGGTTCCACAAATAGCCTTTGATTTATTGGTTGTCATAACAACAGGACAATCTGAACACAAGTTAAATCTCCATTGGTGATGCTCGACCATCTATTAAAACAGACATACTGAGCTACCTTTGCCCTTTTCCTTGTCAAGCATAAATGAGTTATAATTGGAGAACATTACATTTACTTGTATGCCAAACCTATTCAATTAAAACAAGGCTAGCCCTTTGAAATATACATTTACTTCCTATTCCAGAAACATTTCTGTATTAGATTAATACAAAATAACATAATGTTTGATGTTTTATTTCATGTTGCGTATCATTCACTTTAATAGTAAGGAATTCTTGTACGAATGTTTGAGTGATAAGTTTATTTAACATTTTAAAAGCAACATAGCAAGTTTAGCCTTGGAATGCGGTTACAAAACAATGATACCACATAAATACAAATAAGTCATACTTTGAAACCAGAATACCTCCCTGTGATAGTTACTAGCATTGTTTGAGGGCAGACTTCTGAACAAAATTCAATGATTGCAGAAAATAGTCCTGTCAAAATTGCTGGGATTGCATGATTTCAGTAAAATTCCTGGATTAAGTGTTTAATTGTAGCAGGAAACAATAAAATATCTTAATTGTTCGCTGAGATAGTTCCATTTAAGTAAAATAATGTCCTAATGTGTTTTTTACCCCACCTCCTATAACCAACACACAAAACTTTAGTTAACTAAACAATTCTAACCAGAAATCCTAAAACATATTACCGAACCTTAGAATGACTGGATTTACCATTAATAAATAGAATAGATAAGGAAACACCAAGTGTACTTAAATGGTTAGACAAGCCAAAGATCAAGGAAAACAGAAGTCAGAATAGTCAAAGTACAAGCCAAAGTCAAAATACAATAGAATCAATACAAATAACACACTCGTGGGTAACCAATAAGGAAACCACGACAGGGCACTGAGAAATAGCAAATTTAAGTTTAAATAGCCTAAGAAGGGCACTCATTGGCCAATAGCAGTCACATGGCAATGGAACATTCCCTGACAACAGTGCCCCAAACAAATGCTCCCTTTCCCACACCACATATGTGGGAGGAGAAAAATAAATAGTTACAAAGAATATAAAAACAGTATTATTTAGTAAACCTGTAAATTTTTGTGAATTGACAAGGGAATCTCAAATATTTTACCAAAATTGGAAAAAAAAATATCTCTAACAACTTTTTTCCCAGATCAGCCATTTAAACTCATATATAATTTGCTACAATTTACTGTTTACAGAATAGAAATCTAAATTGGTAGGGGTGCATTAAAACAGTAGTAGTTTCATGCTCTTATCTGATTCTGGTTTGACATATTCATGGTTACTTGAACTTTACACTTTTCATTTAATCAACTCTTTATATCCGCTCAAGAAGTCTGATTTGGAATGCATTATCACTACCAATTATGGGAGTCACCATAAATAAGCTAAACTTCACAAGTGAAAACCTTTAGCTGTGTGCATCAATACCCCTGGGAAGTGAAAAGATGACAAGAAAGGACCACTGAATTTATCCATGCAGAGGTTTAACAGAATTCTGGAACGTGACCAAAGCTATTATTATATCTTGCGTACAAGTTGCATGGTTTTGTTTTTCTCCGTAAAACACTATCTCCTACAATCTCAAAGTCCTTTTGGATTTATTTCCTTCTCATTCTCAAAAGCATAGTACAAAAGACAAAAATTTAAATTAGCCAAAATGTAGATTTCTAACTAATAGAGACCATATGGTAGGATGTCAGTGTTTTAATAAATTATATTTATTTTAAATTAAATATATTTTAAATATGATTGTACATTCCTATCGACATCAAATATTAAACTAACTATGATTTGATTGTGTATAAATAATTAAACATACTTTGGAAATTTCTAACTCAAAAATTAAGTAATTTAATTTTATTACATAAAATGACTGGATTTCTCTTTTTATTCCTCAGTATCATTTGCCCCTTACATTCTCTGTGCTTTTTAAAGCAAAGTCAGTAATTCTACTCTGGCTTATGTGGCCATTTCTAGTTTAACTATGTGCTTCTAGTCTGGATTAATTTCATTTTATCTTTTCCCTGTTTTTAATTCTATCTTAACATTTAACCTTTTATCATATCTCCTATGCTGTAATTTCTTCCCATAATCTTTTCTATTTGTTAATAAATATTCAGTCTATTGTAGTGTCAAATAATGCTTTAAATGCTTTAAGGACACATGGCGTGTGACATGTCATGATTCCCTTTTATTCCAGAAGTTTGGTCCTTAAGGGGTTAAACCCTGTCATTTGAGCTTAGAAACACAGCATCCCCTACTATACACATTGTCTCTTTGGCCTTCCACAATTATTTACAAGAAAGGTACATTCTTGGCAGGTTCGAGCTACTTTAGTGTGTGCCTGCTTCATTCATTTCTAAACTTTTCTTGTGGTTCACCTATTGCCTTTTGAGTCAATCCAAAAGTGAAATACACCTTAAAGTAGTTGCTTGTTCTGACTGTAGAGAGAAGGCTACTGGAATTAGGTTACTTTCTTTTTTCATTTGAGATTGCCTGTAACATATTTGTTTTTGTCATGTTTTTATTAGTCACGGTGAGAGCAGGATAGGGATCATACATTCTCATATACTGCCATATTTCATATTCTGATATAATACGGTTTGCTTAAACATATTTTCAGCTGTTTGCTCTTCATCGGACATTAGTTCATGCTAATTAAAGTAGGCTAGGCATTCACTGCGATTAGACATTGAATGAAACATTAAATGAGTCATCCTTTATTCCGTTTTAAATGTTACATCTATAAATCTGGCTAACTAGGTATGTGCGCTTTAGAAAAAAGTATGTAACATTTCTTCAGGTACAATCCAGGATGAATTTCCAACCTATCATACCCATTATGTTTCATTTATTTTGGTTACCACATGGGCATTAGGATATGGACAGTTAATGCTCTGCTATTCCCAGTTTGACCCACTTTACAGATCTTGGAAATCCTATTACTATACCATATTGGTATATATTCTTTTTTTTCTTCTCTTTTTTTTGTTAAAGCTTTGGTTATTTAAAAACTTAGAACAGTTAGAGGCTGACATACCTGGATTGCGATCACCTCTTCCCTATAAGTCCAGCTTCTCCACATATCTACCACCAAAGCCAAGCAGCTTTCATAAATATAGCCTTCACACCTCTCTGACAATCAAACAACCAGTCCTGTCTTTTTGGAAAAAAAGTGTTTATCTTTTAGTTAAGGCAGTGTAGTGTCCCTTTAAATGTATGCTTCGTTGAAATGAAAACTTACAGTTAGACTTGTACACGGCTGAAAAACTCAGTTAACTACATTTTGTCAACAAAGCATTTTGGTTTCTCAGACTTTTGGCCATGCAATCGATTCAGGGGAAACAATTCAAGTGAAGCAAAAGGCCGGAAAAATATAATATTACTATGTATACATATTTTTGCAGCTCATTTTTGCACCCATTTAATGAAGCAAATGCAGATGGTTGACTGAATCCTGACCGAGTAGAATGGCAAATTAGCATTCAAATTCGGTCCACATTCAGTCAATATTCATGATTTTGAGTGTTTGGTTGTGTCCATCCTTCCTCACCCGATTAATCATCAGGGTTTGTTTGGTGCCATAGATAGAACTCCAAATTACAAGTCAAAAGAAACTGATTGTCCATTGTCAATGCCATTTATTTTGTGATACATCCATATGGGGTTTCGGAGTTTCCCTGTTTGGTATTATTCATTAGCTCCTCCCTCCAAACTTTTTGAATAGCAATAAAATAAGGTTTAAGGGAAAGGGTTAGGGAGGCGGGAGGGCTGCAGTGAGGGAGGGTAGGCCCATGCTTTACCTTGTGGGCTCTGACTACAAGGACAGAATCAGAGAATCCTATCTCCAGCATACAGTGCATGCTGATGGCAGACATAAAATATGCAGAGAATTGACCTTTGGCAAAGTTCTGGGTTGCCAAAGTCACGCGTGCTTAGGGGTGTTATTAGCTCCTGGCACACAAGAGCAAATGTCTGTAAATATTTCAAGCAATAAAGAACAAAACATCCAGATTCCTTCCTCCATGACCACTTCTAAAAGCAGAAGTTGGAGTAACCCTTTAAATATGTTATAAGTCTAGATTCACCTTGTTTAAACATTTAAAAAATGTAAACGATATTGATCTTAATTAATGCAAGATTTGAAGAAACCATGCATTGAACAGGAACCTTTTGACTCCTACTGAAAATCATTTGATTGATGGTTACTAATGGTACTTATAGAAGTGGAAGTGAATTAAATGTGATATGTGCTCAGCACTTTTGGTATTTCATTATATAGTATATCCATAGCAATATCATCGTTTAAATGTGACTAATAACATATTTTGAACTGCAGGTCACTGGATCTGTTTTGTCTATTACAATGAGACTTAATGGCTGCATTTGCCTCTCCATGTGTAAATAAATGTAAACACAATTATCTAGTGGCCTCAGGAAGCTGTAAAAGGACAGGTACGAAGCGGTTTTAATGACAGAGTTAGTGAGTGGTTTGAAAGGGGCTGACTCTAGCAAATCAGACATATTTTGGATACCCTTAAGTACAGTCTGATTGAATAGGATGAAAGGAAACTGGCGTTGTTGGATGCAATATATTAATAATTAGCTTGGATCAGGATCATTTTACTGGCTGGCTAGCTAGTGCCAAGTGGCGAAGCAATTCACTAGGTTGGGGACAGGTGAGGCCCTCCTAGTAAGCTCAATCTATGCTTTGGCACAAGGGGATTCCTGGCCAACAAACATTGTGGTGGGGTGTTGGCCTTTCTGTGACATTTAAATCATGAGATAGATTGGGTGTGACAAGTGAGGCCCTCTCTATGCCACTGTGCAAGGCGGCTAACTATGTTTTGGCCCGGGGGTTGTAATACCACATGCGTGAAGGATGGGTGTTGGCCTCGTGGGACCACTAACTCCAAGGCAGAGATGCCAGAAACTCAACATCTATTGGTCACCTAGATCCCTATAAGCCAGTAAAACCTACTCATTAAAAAGGTCTATATTGTGGGGGAGCCATCGTGGCTAAGAGTTTGTGTAGTTCTGTATGGTATGGTTGTAACCTGTCACCTGTAACTGAAATCTGCAGTATCACCTAAAGGAAGCAGAGAGGGGAAGGAAAGGTCTATATCGTACGGAAAGAACTGTAACTGACAAATGGGTGCGATGTCTGAAGAGCAAATGATGTTCCAAATTGATAACCTGTAAAAGAATATGATTTGATAAAAAATAAGGAAATGGATGTTAGAAGACATCTTGAGTGCCACCGTACTCCCCATGTACAGGCCCCGTGGCGTTCCGGAAAGCCACAGGACCAAATAGCCACAGACGGAAACTGTAGTGTTTAAACCATGCAATCATATTTAGCATGTAAGCAAAACCGTAGACTGTGCAGAAATGCATATGTAAATATAGACAGTGTGGCCTAAAGCATATAGTCTATCTAATATGCCACATCGAAGGTAATACCTGTTTGTGGCATTATGATAATCAGATTGAGGAAATATTACCGCTACATAACTGTAAAATAATGATATTCGTATACTAGGTGCCTATAAATGTACCACCCAGAACCCAAAACAAGATATTATATTCTTAATGCAAAATCTGTTAATGTTTTTAATGAAATGCCCAAACGGGGTGCCAAATTAGTTGCAGGTTGCCCATTACAGGGCATATTAACACATTGTAAAGGCATAGTGATGCCAGGAGTAGGAAATATGCGTATCCCGATTTTTATCCTGAGTTTCAGGGTGGCTATGCCGGCTGTGTTGTGATTAATGCAGTTGAATGTAGGATGGGAATCGGAGAATTGTTGTGGAGTTTGTGTATGTAACTAAGACATGTTGGTGATGAGATGGTAAAGAACCAAATAGTTACGAATAATCATCTAGTTTATGAAATGGTGAAAAGAACAGAAACTGTATATAAACACATACTACATGTTTGTTCATCCACCCACTGTAAAGCGCTGCGGAATTTGTTGGCACTATATAAATAATAACATAACATAAAATAAAACATCATATAATACATACGCACTGAGCCCAATAAACCGGTTGTTGGAAGACAGAATCAAAACGGGAACAGAGGCCTCTAGAATGCCACAGTGGCTGAACAGGCAAGCGGCTGTGATGGCCGTACATAATACATAGGAAAAGACAGGAGATTTAAGACATACATTAAAAAGACCTACGTGTGGAATGCTTAGGAGTATGATAACTACTTATGTATACACAGCTGGCATGGAAGATTAGGGTTGAAAGCACCAGGAAATGCTAGAATATCTCAGTATTATTAGCATGCATGTAGACCATACAGAGAAAGTCTGGGTGGGGTTAGAAAGTGAGGGAATGCAAAAGCAGCAGACAAGAGAACTGCAGGTTTAGCTAGCTGTTATAGATTATACCCCAATAAAAATTTCATAATTAAATGCATGCAAGCTGCCCCTCAGGGGCATATCTACTAAACAGCGAATTACCAAACAATGTTGGCCCAATGAGTACCTGAATACCTAGAGGGCAGACAAACATTAAAATGTAGGGTGACTTACTGAAATGCATATGATACAGTTTTATGAATTTGAGGTCATTTAGTAAGAAGATTTAAGACATTTAGAAGATATTCCTCATGTATGTGTACAGAGAAAGTTGGCTAGACATGAATTTAGAGTCAGTTGCAACACCTAGCCACATAAGTGCATGAATACACAGGACAGTAAGAAAACTTTAAAATGTAGAGTGAAACATTAAATTGCAGGGTGACTAACTAAAATGCATATGGATATACCCTAGTGTGGGCCAAATACAGTAAGCAGAATGAGGCATCGCTGCTAAATAAAGTCAGCAGAATGCTATGTATGATTGAAATAGGCTGAACTTGCGTTACTAGTAAAATTTGCCATATCTGAATGGCTGAACAAACAAACTTACGGTTTTGTTGAAAAAAGAACAGTTATAGAAGCCGTAGCTGGGCTGGATGCGGCCAAGCCCCATGAGCTTTAATGAGGCGGCTGTTTACTAGAGTGAGGTAAAACAAATACTTGTGTGGGTCACACTAAGCCAAGACCAGCTTGTTTGGAGTTTAGGCAGTTTGTGTTGATGACCTTTGAACTGGAAGTAGATGGTTCTGTACTGAACCAGACCATCTCATCAGCCTGCAGCACGTCAGACCAATTACAGTAGGGTAGGGAAGGGGGGAGTCCATTTTAAAGGTCCATAAGCCCCTCCCACACCTTCAGGCCAAGCCTTACAATATATATAAAAATCCAAAAGGGTTTGCACTCCTGGTAAAGCCAGTGATTTCTATGCCTGGTGCTGGTCCTACAAAATACAAAATCAAAAAATACTGACCACACTCCAAGGACTTGTCAGGATACATTTGAAGTAATACTTAACTTTTATTAATTCATAGTAAAATAATGTTTTACTTTGTTCAGTTCCATTAAGGGGACTTTCATCAGGACAGACAAATATATATATATATATATATCGTCATGTATAGTGCATATGTTGCAACATTATCATGACATTAAGCATGCAATACATATCACCATCACATTGCAACCATGTTACCTCTTTGGACACACACACATACACACAATGATACACACACATATACATACATGCACAGATATATGCACTCTGATACATGCACACACATTCACACTCTGATATATTTACACACACACACACACACACACACACAAACACACTGATGAACAAACACACAATGACATACAAACACATTGATAGATATAGACACACAATCACAGAGTATGTTATGCAGTGTGTATTGCTACCTGTGTGTGCATGTCTGGTATTGTGTAACAATGTATGTGCCTGAGAATGTGTGTCTGGCAGTGAGTACCATTGTGCATCTTATAACTGTGTTTGTATGTGTCTGTTTATCTGTGTGGGTATGTGTATCTCCGAATCTGGGAGTGCATGTGTGTAGTGGAACTGTTTGCAATGTGTTATGTGAATCAGGGGCTGCTTGTAGTTTTGTAGTTTTGAAGAGTACCTTCTGTTAATGGTGAGACTGTGTGTGTGAGAGATGACTGTGTGTGTATGAGGTTTGCTGTCTGCCAATGGGATTGACTGTGTGTGACTGTGACAGAGCGATTGTGACAGGGTGACTGTGGGGGGAGAGTGTGATAGGGTGACAGAGTATGCAGAGATGTGAGTGACAGGGTAACAGTTTATGTGAGGGTGTGAGTGTGACAGGGTGACCATGATTGGCAATGCCACCTTTTGTCAATATTTGCTTTTGGTGCCCTTGGATTTTGAGACATCTATCCTAAAACTAGAAACGTTATATAGGCAAAATAATGATACATCAGTTACACTCACACCTTAAAGGAATACTCTTAGCTCCATAACAGCTTTAGCAGTTTGCTATATAGGTCATGCCCCTGCAGTATCATTGCTCAATTTTCTGCCATTTGGGATCACTTTGTTAATGCAGCCATAACCACACCACCCATAGCTGTGACTCAGTCAATCAGATCTTACAGTGCAGTGTGTTCTTACCTCCTGCTATATTAAATTAAATTTCAACTACAAACTGGAGTCTGCTGTGGGCTCTAACAGGCAATAAACAAAGCTGCTGGACACTGTGCAACAAGGGAAGCTAAATAATCCATCTCTTTTCAATATGTAGAGAGACTGTGTGAGTCTCAGCCAGTGGGTATGGGGCTAGGGCTCTATAAACAATCAGAAGCTGATTCAATGACATATATAAATGTTTTTTATGTTTTTTTTCTAATGTCTGTATTTGACATTTAAGTGCACATATTGCATATACAGTAGTATTATTAATTTTAGCATTTTTCTATCATTTTTGTTTTATTAAATATGCCAAATGCCACATTTTACTATGTCAAATGTAAACAAAAAAAAATAAACATTACTAATTAAAATAAATTAAGGCAAATGCAGCTTAATGAGCAACCATAGGATTTATCCCGCTAGGGCACAAGGGAGAAAAAGTGATATGAGTATAATCAGTAAAATACAGAAAACTTAATGTAAAAACAAACAAAATAATTTGTAATTTTCTCTTCTAGAAAATGTTTGTTTAATTAAACATAATATTTTATCTCCACATTGTAACTATAATAACGTGTATCTAGAAGATAATTTTCTTAACATCTGCTTCAATTTGTTTCAGCACCGTCTCACTCATATGACTGTCTTATGTTATACTGATGCAGAATACAATTGCTCATAATAAACACATAAATAAATAAATAAATAAATAAATAAATATATGTATATATACTAAGAGTTCACCAATTTTCAACATATCAAATTTATTATTAATTTTTTTTCTTTTTTAAATGTATGATCAGCAGGTTACTGTGACAACACTTTGAAGTTATACAGATTTATATATGATGATATATGAAATCACTGTTTCTAAAGCCAATATATAATGGGAGCAGCACCTTCCCCACGTATGAGAGAGTGACAAATAAGAAAGGTTGTAGAAATCAATTAGTTGGGAAGCAACAGTGGGGGACCAAGTGTGTCAAATTGAGTATAGTTTTTCAATCAGGTAACTTTCAGACCATGCCACATAGGTGAAAATTGAACAATTTACTGATGTGAAATATTCTTTTTATAAGTTAAGAAATTCACAGTGTGGAGACTCCTCTCTTCTCTCTTACGTAT